ATTGTAAAAAAAAATGCTAACTGTAACTTGTAGTAAAATAGTCAATGACGGTATCTTACCCACACTCACAAGGGATGAATCTCAAAAAACTGAAAGTGTGGTCGGACAAGCATATTAGCTGATCCAAAATGTGGCTCCAGTAATGATAAAAAAATACTAAGATCAAATATGGATGTGAGGAGTTTGAAGAAAAATATCTTAAGAACAAGAGGAAGAGGGAAAAAAAAAAAAACATATTTCTAACTCAGTGTGATTTATAGAGTATATGTGATTATAGGTATATGTACCTAAATTTAAAATGTAAATTTTGCCCCCCTCTCCAAAAAAAAAAAAAAAAAGAAAAGAAAAGAAAGAAAGAAAGAAAAGTTTACTTTAGGTAGGCATTTTATTTCTTTATCTACATTCCTAAAAGTACATGTTTTTTCAACTTGACCAAAAAACTCTTTGGGGGAATTTTCAATAGGGAAAACGGGGGAAATGTTGATGTTTGAAACTGCCTTGCAGTGGGCAGAAGGGTATGTGCTGAATTTAATAAAACTGACTCACAGCGAGACTACTGACCACTTAGCCAAGCAGAGCTTTCTCTTCTCCTCGATGCACACAAAAGCTGGTTCGTTTGATCATGTGTAGTGGTCTGTCCCACCCCCAGTCAATAATCTTCTGGAGACTCTAACTTGAAGCAAGTCAACAGGAGGAGTTCACGATTCATTCCTGGATCCCCTGGCTCTTCCTCCAGGGATTGCCCTGGTGCAATGCTCCTCAGCCTGACCCTGCATCTGGGGCGTCAGCCCCACCCAGCCTGACCTCATTTGCTCCCACGGCCCACTTCACCTCCATTCATTCCTGGTGAGCCTTCCTTCACAAGGGCTCCTTCCACTGAGGGCTCTCCCACCCAGCCCATCCTTTACAACCCAGCCCAGTGCCAGGAAAGGAAGCTGTTCTGATGGTCTCAGCCCATAGCAGATGGGTTTCCACTCCCAGAAATCCTCATGCAACACAGTCATCATTCAGCACTGAATTTCATGCGTTCATAAGCTATTCTGTGATTGCTTCAGGCATATCTTCCCCCACCTCTCCCCCCATTCACCCACCCCCTTGCCCCAACCTCTTAGAGAAAAGAATGCTGAGGGCAGGGACTACAACTAAGAATTCTTCTAGAGTCCCCTCCAAGCTCCCTGTCACGTCACTGAAGACTGTCTAATGACATCATGCTTTTGCCCCTGTTCAAGGGCAAACTATGAGGAACAAAAAAAAAAACACAGAAGTAGTACCTTCAGCACACAGCTGCCCCTGGCAAGCCTGTTACCGCTGAGACTGTACCAGATTAACCCACTGACCTGAATCGCAGTGTTTGCAATGGCGTGACTGCAGGTGGCACAGAAAGGAAGGCAACCACTAACAACACAACCCCGTCTCACTTTCTGGCGTTATACAAGGTGCTCCAGGCATCAAGTCCATCAGTAAAACACTTGTCAAGGTGCAGACCTTCAAAAATTACCCAGGACCTGACGTAAGACACGCTAATGCCACTGTTCCACTACCACAGCCCTGAGGGAAGCAGCCATCATCTGTCACCCGCAGGATTGCAACAGCCTCCTAACTGGTTTCCCCGCACCCTCTCCGTCTCGCAATCTATTTCTCAACAGCGGCCTAAATGAGCCTGGTGAATTGCTCGCCAGAACGTGTCAAAACCCTCCAATCGTGGATCAGTCTGGTAGGAAACAGGTGGCCCATTCAAAGTGGGTGCTTTGAGGAGAGTTTATAAAGGAAGGCGTTACAAAGGCATGGGCAGGTGTAAGGAAACCACAGAGGAGGGGGCAGTGCTTGGGGGCTGGCGGCAGGATTCCCTCCTAGGCCAGGTGTGAAGAGAAGGAGATGGACACAGGAAGCTCTGTGAAGAAGGCACCTGATAGATGTGACCTTAAGTCTGGAGATACAGCTCATGCAGCCCTGTAGGAAGGGAATGAATATGCTGATCTCATTCTTCTCCCTCTCTGTCATCCCCTACCCTTGCTCCCCTGGCCCAATACAACCAGAAGCCATAAAGCAAGGGAGCCTGCCAATGTGGCCCACTTCCTGGACACACTGGCAGGAAGGGAAGAATGAATCTGGGGAAGTAAACAGAAGCTAATACCCAGATACCCCCGTAGCTTGTGCCCTCACTTACTTCAGGTTTCAGCCAAAATGTCACATCATCAGAGGCTTTCTCTTGTCATCTTATATAAAAGCCACCCCTACTTCCACCTATCCATTCCTAGCACACTCTATCTCCCTTATCCTGCTTTATTTTCCTCCACAGCATTTCTCTCTAACATATCTAATAAATGACAGATGGTAGGTAGGTAAGTAGTTATCCCTTTTTTAATAGATTGCCTTCTGGCCTACGACAAAAATCTCATAACACCATCAGCTTGGCCCCTTTTGTTCACTGCCTTATGTCCAGTGCCTAGAACAGTGCCTGACGCCTAGAAGGCACTCAAGTATTTGTTGACTAAATTAAAATGAATAAATAAAACAGAAGGAATCATAACTAAGGGCTCTTTCCACAACTTATAGGTTTAACTCCTATTATCAAATTGTCACTTAACAAATAAAGTCTCCTGATAATCAGATAGGAAGCAGGTGAGAAGCAATTGGTGTGGTTTTTTTGTTTTGTTTTTTTAAGCATTTATTTTTATTGGCAATGGCGCAAAATTAAGTAAATCCCTATGAATAAATGGTTCCATCAGAACCAAAAGAATAGCAGTAGTATATTCTGCAAACAATTCCTCCTAGCAAGGTTGGTATTTATTAATATATCACTATTAATCTACCAACCTAGTATTCCTCTAAGCCTCAGTTTTCTCATCTGTAAAATGTGTAAGGATTGAATGATACAATGTGTGGAGAGCTTAAGCACAGTGCTGGGATACAATGAATGGACATTATGGTGATGATGAAAACATTGAGGCAGCCATGAAAATGAGATACTATGTTATCTTTCCACTATCTAGAACTGTTTATCTTATATTTTTTAAATGTGAACTGGAGCCCTAATCTGTTTGGCTCAGTGGATAGAGCGTTGGCCTGCAGACTCAAGGGTCCCAGGTTTGATTCCAGTCAAGGGCATGTACCTTGGTTGCCGGCACATTCCCAATGGGGGTTGTGCAGGAGGCAGCTGATCGATGTTTCTCTCTCATTGATGTTTCTGGCTATCTCTCTCGCTTCCCCTCTCTGTAAAAAAATCAATAAAATATATTGAAAAAAATTTTAAAATAAATTGTGAGCTGAAAATGACATAGAAAGGAAAGAAAATATTCCTTTTCCATCTACCTCACAATTGGGCCTACACTGGAAAGACACCTTGCAGTACCAAGGTTCCGTATCAGAACCCGGTTTCCACTCCTGGCCCAGGCCTTGGCCCGTCTTTTGCGGACCTGAACCTTGTTGTATCTATTTTTGCATCACTCATGTATGCTTAGGTAGTTAGAATATAAACACTGGTGTTTTCCTTAGGGGGCACTCTACTAAAGGGGAAAAAAAGTATAGGAAAAGAAAAAGAGCAGATGAATAAGGCTCCTGATAATGTTCCTTTTTTGATGTCTCTAATCATGGAAGTCTCTTTTCTGGTCTCTAAATATACAGACCAATTTCTAACCCTTTTTCTCTATTAGCATTCTACCCCTGTGTCAATTCAGTTAACTACATAAAAGGTGACCCAAAAGTCTTAGGTCAAATACAAAGAAAAAGGCTTGATCTAAACTCAAAAATTCATCACTTATAAATACTGCAAAGATGTTATAGGCTTTTCATTGATGAGAGAGTTCTTTGCCATCTTTTGAAAAGAGTTCTGAAAAGGATACACTGGTGGACCTGGAGTCAAAAGATAAGTTTCCTTTTCTACCCTAAAATCCATGAAGCATAAATCTCGTTACAATATTCTCTCTGCTACTATGTGTATAGTAATTGTGTAGTTAAGCCTTTGCTTTTGTTATTAACTTAAAATTGTATTTATAGCCATAATATACAATTTGAAACTATCACTACTAATTTTGCCTTAACCAGGGCTTCCAACTTCAGATATGAAAGTCAAAGCAGGTCCCTCCCAAGGTTAAGCCTGGAGACTGCGCTTTCTAGGAGACCTATTTTAGTAAGCAGCCTGATGCTTATTTGTAAGTGCTGCAAAGCATCATCCTGACCACTTCTCCTCTGGGCAGATGGGTAAACATTTCCACAATTACTTGGGAACAGTTGGGGAAAGAAAAGAAAAACAAAACTACAATTTACTACTCATTCCTAAAGCACTTCTCAAAGCGATAGGTCCCATCCTACTTCGAGGACTAGGTGAATGGCGAGTAGTTAAAATGTATACTTTTATTGTAAACACTTTCCAAACTATACGGTTTTCCTGTCTGTCTTTCCCAAGCAGGCGGTGACATGCTAATGGTCGGGCACTGTTTTATTTCTTTGTATTCCCAGCGTTTAACATTGTGTCCAACACACTGCTGGTGCTCAAATGATTGAATGACTACAATGCCCACCCGCGAGGCAGGCCCCAAGCCTGGCACTGGAGGCAGAAATTAAACGGATCGTGAAATGACATGACCTAAGCCAGGCTGTTTCTCTTCCACTCCATGTCCCCAAAGTACAAGCTGGGTGGGAAGGTTGCACTACCCATCCCAAAACCTCCAGAAGTCCGGGTAGAATGGAGTGGGCTGTCTGACCCACCCGGGCTGCTTCTGACCTCCAAGCACAGAACATGATTCTCTCCGCTTCCTAAGGCAGAGGGGACCCGGGGGTTGTGCTTCCCTCCAACCCAATCCTGACAACGACCCCAACCCACAAAGGCTTCACTCCCCAGACCTAGCCCGGGCGCCCGGAGCTCCCCAGAAGAGAGGCTCCGCGCTGCGCTCTGGGAACTGTAGTTCCGCGATAAGTTCCGCACACGGGCGGCCCAACAGATGGGACTCCCACTCCCAGAAGCCCCCGCGCGGGCGCCTCGCCTAGTCCTGTCATCTCACCTGTTCTATGGACGTGACTGTTTCCACCGAGTCGTCCTGCAACCGCTCCCTCGCGTGCTCGGGCCTCAGACTGTACAGCGGCTCTGACCAGACAGGGGAGGAAGATGGAGGGCTGTAGTAGGTGAAGGAACTCGGAGAAGCCATGATCAGGAGAGCAGCGGGCGGTGTATAGGAAGGACTCAGCCTCGTCCAACAACAGCGCGCATTGAAACTCGAGCGGGTTAAGGCGCTACGGAGAGCGGATGGAGTCAAAAAGGTTTTGACCGCGAGTCTTTCTCCTCCTACCTACAAATCTTCAGGGAGTGAGTTGCTGAGATGCTGCCGCCCCCCATTGGTCAGAGTTGCTGCTGCAAGAGGCTCAGCTTCCTGGAGCTCAAGGAAGGAAGGATGTGTAAAATCTGAATTTCCTTTCAGAGGAATGGTGTAAGATGTCTTGGTTCGCCATGCAAACACACACACACACACACACACACACACACACTCACACGTCATTCCATCACTTAATTGCTAATCGTAAATGGCAGTAGTTAATAAGCTCGAATGTCCAAGAACCCAATGATTGTAACTTTGAAAGCATTTCTGACAGCTCTCCTGAATGCCTCAGTCACACTAACAAAAATGCCTCAGTGCACTTTTGGGTATGTGACAGCCGCCCAGGAGAAGCCCACAGCTTCTCAACAAAGGAACTGCCACCTCAGTACTCGGGGATGAAGGGAAAGGGAATTAAAAAGTTCTTCTATTCCCTTGGGGGTTGCAGTACAGAAAGAACTAAAATGCAGCTGAAGGCACAAGTGAAACAACCAAGGCAATATTCGTTCATTTGTTTATCATGTGTGTGTTTTTAAGAATATTTTATTGATTTTTAGAGAGAGAGGAAGAGGGAGAGAAACAGCAGTGTGAGAGTACATCTTGGGACTACCTCTTGCACGCCCCCTACTGGTGATTGAGCCAACCTCTTGGCGCATAGGATGCCTAGCCAGCTAAGCAACACTGACCAGGGCTATTTATCATTTTTTTATAAAGCACCTACTATGTCAGGCATTGTGCTAGGCGCTAGCAATACAAAAGTGAATGAAACAAACAAGATCCCTGCCTTTGGAAACCTTACAGTCTAGTGGGGTAGACAGAATTAAATGAATGAACATAGTAAATATATGAAGGCTTGTAATACATGGTATTAAGGAAAACAGGGTCTCTGATAGAAATTAAAATGGAAGGTGACTAATTAGATTTGGCCAAGTCTCTTCAAGTAAATGACATGTAAGCTGAGATCTGAAGGATGACAAAAAGCTATCCATGTGAACACTATGGGGAAGAGCTCAAAAGGAAGGAATGGCAAGATTGAGAGAACGTGACAGACAGACATATGTATGTTTATATTAATTCTGATATGTAATCTGAAAATAGTCAGAATTTTTTTTTAAAAAAAAACTTACTTAGTGGGGTTAAGTTAAAAAAAAAAAAAACACTCTGCTGAATGGGGTTAAATAATTTAACCCCATTGATATTAGGAAACTCCTGCTACTCTTGGACAAGCAATAGACGAGAATCTTTCAGGCCCATATCAAAAGGACTACACCAAGACTATAATACCCAGAGGTTAAACTATTCAGAGCGCAGAGGGTTTGTTGTGGGGAATGGAGTGTATGGGAGAAGATAAGATGACAGCACACTTTCCACATAGACAGGGACACAAGCTCAACTTCCTGCTCAGGGCATTTTACTCTGTTCCCACTCATTTCCAAGTCACGTGTCTCGGACTCAGAGAACGGAAGTGTGATATTTCACAACCAGCCATTTCCCCATTCTTAGTCTCTGGTGTCACATAGAAATATTCTAAAGATGAGGCCAGGATGGCCTAAAGGCCCCAGGCATATAAACATTATCACCATATATTCTGTAGTGGAGGGAGAAACTCCTGGTTTATTTCAGCTGGTCTGATAATTAAATTGAAACAGATTAATAAGAGAAAATGACCAAGTTTGATTACATACATGTGTACACATGGGAACTCCACATATGTAAGAGTCAGAGATAATTAAAATGGGGCACACATGGCATTTTGAACAAAGTTTGAGGAAAGGCACCTTGAGGCTTCAAAGGATCATTGCAGGACAATAAGAGCGGGTGTTCAGTAATTCATTGTTTTCCCTGCCATATAGATAGTGTTGTTGTTGTTTTTAAAGGTCATCTCTGATAATGTCTTATTATGAGCAAGGTCTCTACTCCAAATTCTTCTAGGAAGTTAAGGGAGGGGCAGGCAGAAGTTTCTCTGGAGTCCCAAGGTCTCAGTTGACCTTAGCTCAAAATAACCCTCCTAAAACAGAGGCATTTCTGGGGGTGACTCCTTCTGAAACCCTATACCAGTGGTTGGCAAACTGCGGCTCGTGAGCCACATTCGGCTCTTTGGTCCCTTGAGTGTGGCTCTTCCACAAAATACCACGGCCTGGGTGAGTATTTTGAAGAAGTGGCGTTAGGAGAAGTTTAAGATTAAAAAATTTGGCTCTCAAAAGAAATTTCAATTGTTGTACTGTTGATATTTGGTTCGGTTGATTAATGAGTTTGCCGACCACTGCCCTATACCACTTTAGTGGTATTGTTGCCAAGTTAAGTCCTGGAGGTGGCAGGATGTTACAAAATCTGAGAATAAGTGAGACTATGTGGGTTAGGATCACCGATAGACACTACACATTTCCCTCTGTATTGGCAACTTACTGTCTTTCCCTTAGTTATGTTTTAGAAAAAAACTGTCTGATAAAGGTCCACATATAAGAATTCAGCCTTCTTTGTAAAGAGTTGCTTTGCTGGCTAGCAATATAAATTGAGCTATGGAAAGAGTAGCTAGAAGCGTTTTGTAATACATTGTTACATCTAATACAGGTGTGCCTAAAGTAGTTGCAAATTGTATTCAAGAAATAGAAACCCACTAATGAAATGCAGTGGGCTCTGAAAGATATTAATAGGAGCATGGCAAGAGTCACCTGCAGTATAGTGTCTGTTCATTCAGTAAATACTTATTGAGTACCCGTTATGTGCTGGGCCCTGAGCTAAGTGCTGAGAAGTCAGTGTGAACAAGCCAGACACAGTCTCAGTTCTTATGAGACTCATGATTTACCAGGAAAAAAAAAATAGACATGAAACAATCATTACAGAACTACTTCATTGAGGGAAATAGCATGAGGGAGAAAGAAGCACAGGGTGTTGTGAGATTGCATAACAGAGGGCAGTGAAAGTAATCTGGAAGACCAGGAAAGACTAGTATGAGGAAACCAGTTAACCAACCCAGGTGACAGGTTATCCAGACATAGGAAACCCACTGACAACCAAAAATCAGGTGAAACAAGAAATGGAAAATATTAGGAATTTGTACTCTATGTAGCATCAAGAAGATTGTTCAACCTTGGATCAATAGTGACCTACCAGTTGTCCTTCTTCTGGGTTTAATAAAACCATTTGTTCAAGAAGCAGAAGGGGCCCTGGCTGGGTAGCTCAGTTGGTTGGAGCATCAAACAAAACCATCAAGCATGTGTCAACCGATAGTCCACGGTTGCAGGTTTAATCCCTGGTCAGGGCACATATAAGAATCAGCCAATGAATGCATAAATAAATGGAACAACAAATAAATGTTTCTCGCTCTCTCTTTCTCATCTTCCTTTCTCTTCCTCTTTCTCTCTAAAAGATCAATAAATAAATAAAAATAATTTTTTTTTGCCCCGACTGGGAATCGAACTGTAACCCAGTTTGGCTCAGTGGCTAGAGCATTGTCTGTGAACTGAAGGGTCCCAGATTTGATTCGAGTCAATGGCATATGCCGGGGTTGCGGGCTCAGTCCCTAATGGAAAGCATGCAGGAGGCAGCCAATTACTGGTTCTCTCTCTCATCTATGATGTTTCTATCTCTCTTTCCCTCTTCCTTCCTCTCTGAAATCAGTAAAAATTTATATTTTAAAAATTGTTTTAAAGAATTGCCCTGCTGATATGGCTCAGTGGTTGAGCCTCAGACCTATGAACCAGGAGGACACAGTTCCATTCCCAGTCAGGGCATGTACTTGAGTTGCAGACTCGATCCCAAGTAGGGGGTGTGCAGGAGGCAGCTGACCAATGATTCTCGCTCATTATTGATGTTTCTATCTCTCCCTCTCCCTTCCTTTTGGAAATCAATAACAGTTTGTCATTTTTAAAAGAGCCATGACAGGATGGTTCAGTTGGTTGAAGTGTCATCCCGGATACCAAAAGGTTGTGTGTTCCTTTTCCGGTCAGGGCACATATCTAGATTTTGAGTTTGATCCCAGGTCAGGCGAGAATGGGAGGCAAGTGATCGATGTTTCTCTGTCTCTCTGTCTGTCTCTCTAATGTCAATAAACATATCCTTCGATGAGGATTTTAAAAATAAAGCAAAGTGAACATAAATACTGGCGGTATGGTAGCAAATGATGTACTTACATGGGAAAGTCTCAGTAATGATAAATCATAGCAATTCCAGCTTGGACTGTAGATGGTTTGGGTTTATTTTACTGAAATTCCTGATATTTTTCTAAATTAAACTGTGAGTTATAATTGTTTCTTTAAAAATAATACAAGCCCAGCTGGTGAGACTCAGTGGTTGGGGTTGACCTGTGAACCAGGAGGTTACAGTTTGATTCCCAGTCAGGGCACTTGCCCGGGTTGCGGGCTTGATCCCCAGTATGTGTGTGCAGGAGGCAGCTGATCAAGGATTCTTTCTCATCATTGATGTTTCTATCTCTCTCCCTCTCTCTTCCTCTCTGAAATCAATAAAAAATAAAGAATAAATTAAATAATACAAAATACACTTCCATCAAGAGCAAAAAATAAAAGGAAAAAAATAAGTGGCCTAAATGAGCCACTAGAGGTCGCTTCTGACCCTAGAGTAAACCTATAAAGGAGGCTTTAAAACAGCTCTGCCATTTACTCACAGGAGCTTATAATGTCAGCATGAATTGTTTCTTTTAATATCTTCTGAAATGATGCAATGCATATCTTAGAAAGTTTGAAAAAATGGGAACACATCATCTATTTTCCCACTAGATAATTAATTTCCTCCCACACAATTACTCTTCCACCAGCATCTGCAGCCGCCCACTCTGCTGTCCTGGATACAATGTCTTTCCTGCTCTTACCTAGAGC